AATGTATGGAATTCAAAAATGAATGATTTTATAAGTAAAAATAAAGATACAAAAAAATTATTAAGAAATAAAAGTAATTGTTATAGTTATGATCACGCCTGTGCTTGTATTAACGGCGCCAACGGCGACCTATTAACAATATCAGGAAACTGATGATGCAACGCACGAATAAGTTCAATCAATTCGTTGCGTGTCGATTCTAATAATTGGTCTTCGGGAGGGGAGAGAACTTGCGCAAAGACATTTAGGAGGTCGGTAATGTGATTAAGCACCTGACCAATCGTAGTATATATTTAATTATTTGAATGAGATTGAATAAATTGAAATAATAAATGATAAAATAATTACTATATTATTGTTTGCACGAAACAGTTGAAATATGCATTGATATACTGGTTCATTCTCCTGATAATCCTTTTTGAGTGGTAATGTTTGTATTAGGACTGGCAGTACCTAAAAAAAATATCGAGGGTCGAGGACAATAATAACAATAAACCATTAATTATAGAAGATAATTTGATTAGATTTATTGATTAAAACCAATTCGAATACCTGATCAATTGGAATCGCTTCCGGGTGCACCAACATCATTCGACACACGGCACCACACGCATTATCAGTAACATTCGTCGTCGATTTTTTGACGAATAATGGATGTAGTGCTGCTAAAATATTGTTATATTGTCTAAAATAAACAAAAATTAAAAGAACTATAAATTAGTAAGCGGTTTCTTTTTTGTCGATTGGTTGTTCTATTTAAAGCCAAGTGTAAGACATATATTACGGTGTTATATTAACAGTCGTGTGCTGACATAAAAGCCCGATCGAGTACGCAGCATTGCTACGAACTTCGTCATCTTCATCAGCTAAAGCTTTCATGAATAATGTTAAAAGTTGCTAAAATAAAACATATTATTTAATAAAAGAAACAGGTTGGAAAGCGTGACATTTCGGGAAGAGAAAAAGCTCTAATATTGAATAATTATTATAAGAAATACCTCCGTGAACTCTGTAACCGCAGATTTCAATCCAAGAACACATTCCCCCAAACATCCTATAGCCATCGACCTATCAGACACGGGTTTTGATCTTTTCTATTACAAATTTTTAAAACGATATATTTGTTTTATTTCAACCCAGGCCTAAAAAATCAAGAAAAAATCACACAAAAAGTAAAAGACACCTACGTAATATTTATTTATAAATGGTAAATACACCTTGAAGTATTGCACGAAATCAGGACCAAGCGCCAACGCCATCGCCGCAACCAAATCAGAACACGCGCTTATAAGTAATGCGTCGTGTTCTGCTGCTTCGTCTTCGTCAAGTATGCCTTCTTCGTCTTCTTGATCTTGTTGACATAATGCTTTTTTCTGCAGTATGAGAAGACATTGGTTTGCGATTTGATCAACGTCTGTATAAAATATAATCAATTAAATTAAAACGAGAAAATGATTGTTTATTTTAGTCTAATTAGATTAATTCTGAAAGCGTGAAATTAACCGAGAACATTACTGACATTCGGCAATGATAGCAGGTCCGCAAATTTTTAGTGATTCAGTCAATTCCTGACATATTTGCACTACCACCATTCTAAAGCATTGTAATAAAAAAGCCGGTTAAACAAACAAACAACAATGCTTTTCTTTTCATATTTTTCGTCTCAATAATATTATTTATATATATATATATATATATCACGATTCAGAGAAAACTTTCAATCTCATTAAAAAATTAATTCGAAATGAGCTGGGTTAAAGAGCTTTGTGGTTCATCATATATTTTTTTGAAATAATTAATATGATTATCAAAAACCAAGATTGAAAATTCACCTGCTTTCCTCGTCCTCCCACATAGTCAAAATGTCTGGCATGACGGCTTTAATCATATGAGTGACATTGTCATGTATCGGCACTTTCTATGAATTGTGTAAAATAATTATAATTATAAAAATTAAAATATCTCATTGTACAAAATCATAAGACGTACTAGAGGTAATCCGGCCTGCCATTCTGCCGGATCTGACATCGAATAAAACGTTGATATAAAGTTAAATAACGAACACGTGACTGCCTTTCTAACGCCCTCCGAATAATGATTCGACAATTTTTTGAGCTCCACAACACATTGCTCTACGTATGGCAGAAAATGTGCTCGGGTATGTTGAAAGATTTCACCAATTGCATCGGCAGCAATTTCTTTTTCGTCAACTACAGCAGAGTTAACGGCAAAATCGTCTTCGTCGACGTCTTCGCCATCCTCTGCCTCTTCTTCAAGTTGGTTTTCTAGATAATGTAATTGGATATTATGGATTAATAGGCATTAAAGCATGTTAGGACGGATATATTTTAAGATAATAAACACCATTGATACTGAATAGATCTTTTTCTTCAATTTGGCAACTTTTTATTAATTGTGGCATTACAACTTCAAGATAAGGCGCAAATTCATCCTTAAATACACGAGCAATTACTGCAAATAGGCAGTAACTACATTCGCGAATTTGCGCAGAATCTAATTGCATTCCGTCAATTGCCATTCTCATAATTTCATGAACATGCGTCTAGATTATGAATAAGGATGAATGGACAATAAATAACTTTTAGATCATGTATTTATATTAGATTTGTTGGTTTGGGTAGATGCAGAGAATAAAATGTAGTTTTTATTTAATTACATACTTTAAATACTTCTTTTCCAACTGCTTCTGCCACAGCACCAACAGTATCAGTAGCAACGCCTCGTAATAATAAACCTTCAGTGCCTCGATCTATCGTCATCAAAACATACAATCTTTTTATCACTTCGTCAAAATACGGTTTAAATTCCTATAGCCGCACGAATCAAATATAGATTATTCAAACAAAAATACTAATCCAAGAGAGATGAAGATAACAGCAATAATACATAATAGATAAAAAAATACCTCGCCGGCAGCATGTGCCGCACTCCCAATAGCAGCAGTCACAGTCGCCTTCACTTCATCTGCACCCTGATCCAAAATTATCAAAAGTTTCTCCATCAATAACGGCAAATACTGCACGATCTCGTCGCCAAGTCCCTCAAGAATCGCGTCTAGAGCATTACACGCATGTTTTGGAATATCAGGACTTGGATCGTTTATTAAGTTGAAGACGAGGGGAAGAAGTGTGGCGTGGTTTGCCGCGACTTCTTCGTCGAGTTGCTCTTTTTTTTAAAATAAAACAAAGTAGGTGAACTAGTAATTAAGAGGCAGTTAATAAAATGATTTTTTGATAAAAGGATGGAAGTACCTGCAAAAGATCCTAGTGCAAGACATGCAGATCTTCGTACAATAGTCTCTGGATCTTGGAGTCCGGCACTTACTATTAATAATAAATCATTGAATTTAGGACGAATGTAATCGGCGCACCCTTCAATTAATACCTATATACATAAATTATTATCAATTAATTACAAACCGTTAAATAAAGTAATTTGATAATGCATAATCAAAAGATAATATCAAAAGCCTAATTCGCCCAAAAAACAGTGCACAAACCGCTAATGCCATCATTT